CCGTACTCTTAATAATGATTAATATGCGTCCCGGAGTATTAACCGTGGGCCACATTAATATTAAAAACCATGAAGTGTGTGTGGTCAAAGTTTTCAGGACTCAGGTGGCTCGTACCTCCCTCTATAATAAGCGTGCATCCGTACGGTCCAAAAAGTAGGGCTCTTGATTAAGACTAAGCCTTGACAAATACTCTACCGTTAGCATTTCAGCTAGCCCCCCAGCCAACCCGTTGGGGCAACCCGCACCGTTCATACCCTTGCGTAACCGAGGCCGCCAGCTTGCAAACAGTGCACGCTGGCAAGTGTGCTGGTAGTCTAGCCGTGTCTATGAAAAATCAATCGAGGGCCGAGCCGTCGATCACCGTGCACAAACCCAGTCATACTAAGGTTAACTAATCAGTGGCCGTGGGGCGAGCGTCGGCAAGAGGAAAAAAAGCTGAGGCATCACAGTTAACTTAGCTTCTTATCAGACAAAACAGTAAAGATCCCATTTTACAGTTTCCGAAACAGTTTAGCGAACACCGCGGGAGCTAAAACGTTAGCCTAGCCACGTCTCTAGCATCAGGCCTGGACTCTTCAAAACCTCCTTTTTTTCAATTTCTTCTAACTTCTTAAGCGTTAAGCATTTTATAGTATGTGGATAACACCCTGCTATATAATCCCGAACGGCAAATGGTAACACAACAGGAGGATTAAATTAGTTGAGAGCGCAACAAACTGAAGTGTTCTGTCTTAGTTAGTCCATTCGTTAGCTACTCATTCTAGCCTTGGAAGCTAAGCTCTCACCCACCAAAAACTCCCCCACCTGGAAGCCAAGGAATTCGCTGTGAGGTGAGCTTCATCCCGGAGGCACACCCGAATCGTTCCCGGGGATCCGAGATACGCTATAAAACCCTTATGATTCTCCACCGGCGTCCGTGGAAATACAATTTAGGCGATATCCTCACATTTATGATGCACCTACTACTCATCAGACAAGGTTTTGAGAAGACACTGCATCTTGTTCCCGGGTGACTCCAAAAGGGTTTTCTGGCAAAACCGTCCGAGCCGCCCTCAGGGGGGGAAGGCGGCAACTCGCTCACCACTGTTTACAAGTGGTGTGTGCGCTAAAGTCTCACTGTGAATGTACGGGACAGAGCGTGCCGGGGGCAGGGCAGCCTGGTGATTGGATGCGAGGATTTAGGCCTGAAATCACAAGCCAAAACAGGTGCAGTGCACACACTAAACTGCTATTCTTTTAGCCCCTGTTCATCTCAATCTGTTCTTGTTACAAGCGCCATAACACAGAGGCAGACAACATTTCTCACGTTCTCTATAAGTATACTATCAATCCGGTGCGCTCTTAGAACAAAGAACCAATGAAGTGAGGCAAGGTCTCACTTTTTCAGTGTTTACCAGTATAATATCTGAGTGTAGAGGAAGAGTAACTATTTGCTATTTAGGTTCTCTCGTGTATTTCGTTAAGATTCTCAAATCGTAGGTTGGTCGTTTAAACGAAATGCATTTAATAATTTTCATACATATTATTCCTTGCACATGTATTAGGGTGATATAATAAATAGCCCTATCATTTATAAAGTAACTCTAGCAAACAAATAAAGTGTGAGTGAGCCGGTAAAACTGAACTGTTGGGCTTCTCATGCTGAACATGTGAAAATCTTTCTTTCCGATTTTGCACAACTATTTCTTCCAACAAAACAAGCCAATTTGGGTTTATGGGAAGAAACTTATATAAATGCACCTCATAGTAAGCACAATAATATGCTTTGTTTGCAAAATCTTAACTACAAAATGTAACAAGGAAGTGACAAAAGAAGTAATTACAGAGAGTGAGAAAAAGAACGAGTAAGTTGGAGTACATAGTTGTGTGTGCATCCAAAAAAAAAATGAGTCAGTAGAAGTTAGGGTTAAAGAGACCTGAGAGGTCACCAAAGATTAAATGATTGTAGGTGGTGTGACCCGGATGAGTTAGCAAGGAGAGAGTACAAAGAAGGAAAAGATAAAGTTCTCTTGCAGAAATGTAGCTCTTTTTTTTTCCAGAAGAGTATAGAAACATAATAATGGGTTTCATTTGAATAATCAAAGTAGGACAAGCACCTCGTAGGGTAAAAAAAAAAAAAGGACTGTGGAGGAGAAGCCTGATCTCTATATAAAGCGCGTTTGCATTTCCCTGTTAACATTTCATACAATTGCATTTAGCATTGCCATTTGGTTTAAATTTGTATTCCATATAGCTGAAGCATCTGGATCCATGAAGCACCTTGATTACAACACACTCCTAAGTAGAAAATAGACAGCAGGCGACTGAGAGAAAGGGCTTGTTTATGAAAAGTAGCACAGCTGCACTGAGGACGTGGTGTTTGGCAGGATGATTTTTGAGGTGATGTTTGAAGTTAATCCAGTAACACTGTGCTTTTGATGCAACCCCCATGTGACATAGAAAGTTGCTTCAAGTTCTTGTGTTTGTTCATGTTTTGCATTTAAAAATTGCACTGTGAGATGGGATTTCCTTCAGTCTATAACACAAGAAAACAGGCAAGGGTTGTTTTCTGATATCTACACAGTCTTACCATCTGATTTCAGGTTGCTTGTTCTTATCCGTCACTCTGTACCGTAAGGGAGGGCTTCTCATTGGTCAATTTGGCCATTATTCCTGATCGGTCCCATATTCATTCTGCAGCATGACTCACAATGACCCCAAAATATACAGGCCCAAATGGGCAAAAAATTGATAAAGAGACTATCTTCAGCAGTCAAGAAAGAACCAGGAGTCCTGTAGCAGATGGTCTGGCCCCACTGAGTCCTGATCTCAACATCATGGACTCAGTTCTGGCATTACAATGAAGAATAGAAGACACAGAGAGAGAATAAATCCACAGAGGAACAACCTAACCTTGTGCTGTTGATCTGACAACCTGCTATAAGGAGAAGTAGTGGCGTGTTCCAAAAGCAAAGGATGTGTGCCCACCAAACACTGATATGCTAATAGGTTGGATTATTTTGATAAGTGCTCCCCTCCCCTCACTTTAAGTGCTACTAAAGACTTTTCAACACCAAGTACTATATTTTGTTTGAAACATCCAAGTTCTGAGGCTACCGCTGCTTCCTGTTTCTTTGTATTGTGCGATGAAAACTATATGCTCTGTTGCCGTGAATGGATTAATATAAGCTGCGTTATTTAAAAGCACTATGTATGCATTAGTGTGATGTTATCTCACTGCCTAATTGGAAATACATTGCCACTTGCCATATGAACCTGTATCTGTCTGAACGGTAATCATGATTAAGGTCGGGAAAACATAAGTTTAACTTTTCGAGATCACCATGCTGTGCAGACCCCAGTGGGTCGCTTCGGTATAGTACAGTGCCTGGCAAAATGAGTAGCTGCCTGCAATCTCAGGGCGAGCCCGACCCTGCAGCTGCACGAGGCTGTGGTCTACTGTGGTGGTAGGTGGGTTATGAAAGGCGAGGATGGGTCCCTCCAGGTCAATCCTGGGTACGTCTATCTCCTGTGCAGATCTGTTGATCTGTCGGCGTACCCACATCTGGTTTACCCATTTCTTAAACGAACTTCGAACATTCACCAAGCTGAGGAGGTGGTGATCTGCTCTGCCTGCCATAAATGCCTTTCCGTGTTATGAGGGTGTACATCACCTTGGCGAGTGAGGTGTGAGTGAGTGATACAACAACAATCTCCTCGACCTGTCGCAATCCAGCTCCACATAGATAAGAGACAATATATTAAATATGTAATTATCCAAGCGCTGCTAATGGTAGGGAGTGCAGAAAGAAGGCTGGTAGAACGCACCACAAAATGGTGGAGTAATCCTTTTCAATACATAGGATTCTCAGAGAACTTTGGCATCCCACTCTCAGGTTTGTAAATGCAAGCCCAGTCAGTATTCATTTATGAGGCTGTAACTCACAGAGCACCCAAAATGTGTTCAACTTTTTTTTCTTTTTTTCCCTGGTTGAAATTAGGTTTAATTCAGTTAACCAAAAAAGTTTATAAAACTTCGTGGTATAATGAGGGCCTTGTAGTTAGTGTGTGAATGGGTCCTGGTTCTTTTTAATATCCTCATCCCAACATTAGATAAATCGATGAGTGCCAAGGTTATATTTAAGCGCGGACCAGGCCTCTGTGAGAATTGTGTATGAAAGAAAATGAAATACCCTCGGAAATAATCACCCTCCATGTGAGGTATGCTGGAGTGTGTAGTCTCGTTTCGCGTTAGCCGGCAGTTAAGTGGACCTGGTCCGGTGAGGGTTGGACTCCGCCAGGGCTGCCTTTGTCACCGTTCTGTTCAGTAACTTTTCTCATGGACAGGAATTCTAGGCGCAGCCGGGTGTTGGTGGACGCGGGTTTGCGTTTCCGCTGGCCGGGGAGGATCTCATCTCTGCTTTTTGCGGATGATATGTGGTCCCTCCTAGCTTCATTCGAGCGGCCGACCTTCAGGCTTCTCGCTTGGGCGCGTTCCGCGCCCGAGTGTTTTGAAACGGGCTGGATTTGAAAATCAGCACCTCGCAAGTTGAGGCCATGTGCGTTCTCAGCCGGAAACGGCAAAGGTGGTTTGCCCGCTCCAGGGTCTTCGGGGGGGGGGGGGGGAATTTCCCTCAGGTGGAGGAGTTTAATTATTCTCGGGATCTTGCTTCACGAGTGAGGTAGGATGGAGCGGCGACATCGTACAGCGGATTGGGGTGGCGTCAGCAGTGATTGCGGGCGCTGAATCGGTCCGTTGTTGGGAGAGGGAAGCTAAGCCGGAAGGCGAAGCTCTTCAATTTTGATTCCGCCGTCTCGATCTTACCTTCCGATCCTTCACCTATGTCATGAGCTTTGGGGGTTAATGACCACCGATAAGAACGAGATCGCGAAATACAAGCGCCGAAATGAGTTTCCTCCGCAGGGTGGCCGGGCTCAGCCTTTAAGAGATAGGGTGAGGAGCTCGGTCATCGGGAGGGACTCGGAGGTGTAGAGGCCGCTGCTCCTCCATGTCCGAGAGGAGCTCATTGAGGTGGTGGTTCGGGGCATCTTGGTGGAGGATTGCCTCCTGCGACGGCGCTCCCCGGGGGAGGGTTTTTCGGGCATGTCCACCGGGAGCGAGACCTCGAGGTCGACCAAGGACACGCTGGAGGGATTATATCTCGCGGCTGGCCTTGGGAACGCCCTCGCGGATTCTCCGGGAGGAACTGGTTGGAAGTGCTGGGTGAGAGGGACCGTACTGGACCTCTTTTGCTGAGGCTGCTGCCCGGATCCGGATAAGCGAGGAGACGACGAGACGAGACGGGTAAGCTTAGTTTTACGCGGCCAACCAAGCCCAAAATACCAACAAACGGGAAATTTACTTGTGTTTATGTGTTTGTTAGCTTGTATTTGACAGTGCGGCTGA